GGGCTGCCCTTTGTCACCGGTTCTGTTCATTATCTTTATGGACAGAATTTCTAGGTGCAGCCAGGGGCCGGAGGGAGTCCGGTTTGGGGACCACAGGATCTCGTCTCTGCTTTTTGCAGATGATGTTGTCCTGTTGGCCCCATCAAACCAGGACCTCCAGCATGCACTGGGGCGGTTTGCAGCCGAGTGTGAAGCGGCTGGGATGAGAATCAGCACCTCCAAATCCAAGGCCATGGTTCTCAGTCGGAAAAGGGTGGCTTGTTCCCTTCAGGTTGGTGGAGAGTTCCTGCCTCAAGTGGAGGAGTTCAAGTATCTTGGGGTCTTGTTCACGAGTAAGGGAAGGATGAAATGGGAGATTGACAGGTGGATCGGTGTAGCGTCTACAGTAATGCGGTTGATGCACCGGTCCGTCGTGGTGAAGAAGGAGCTGAGCTGTAAGGCGAAGCTCTCGATTTACTGGTCAATCTACGTTCCGACTCTTTGGGCTCATGACCGAAAGGACAAGATCCCGGATACAGGCGGCCGAAATGAGCTTCCTCCACAGGGCGGCTGGGCGCACTCTTAGAGATAGGGTGAGGAGCTCAGTCACCCGGGAGGAGCTCAGAGTAGAACCGCTGCTCCTCCACATCGAGAGGAGCCAGCTGAGGTGGCTCGGGCATCTGTTTCGGATGCCTCCTGGGCGCCTTCGAGCGACTGCGTCTCTCGGCTGGCCTCGGAATGCCTCGGCATTACCCCGGAGGAGCTGGAGGAAGTGTCTGGAGAGGGGGAAGTCTGGGCATCTTTGCTTAGACTGCTGCCCCCGCGACCCGGTTCCAGATAAGCGGAGGAAAATGGATGGATGTGTTTTTTTTGTGTGTATCTTGTTAATTGAAACCAGTGTTTTCCTTTGAATTGCTCCACTAATAACAACAGTAAAAAAAAAAAAACACTGTGCACTGAAAATTATTACCATAACATAAAGTGGTGTCTTTCAAAGACACTCAGCCAAACATCATTTGTATTCTGAGGTTAACTGATGGAAAAAAACTGTAGGAAAGAGAGAGGGAAAGGGGAGAACAGGATCTAGCAGCAAGAAGAAACAGAAAACTTGTGCGTAGCAATGAATTCTCCCGCCAAAGAATTTCCTCTTCACAAAACACTTTACATATCATTATGTAAACCTTATCGTGCACTAAGAATGAGCTAAAGTGCTCCAGAGGATTGCTGTGCAGTGTGTATATGCTTGCGGTTCCTCTGATCAAAGTGAAACACATAATTCCCATCCTCTAAACCTCTCGTTTTCTCTTTCTAACAGGCCTCTCTGACAACAGCTAAAATGGAACCAAGTGGTTCCCTTGAAAAGTATCCACAGCACTAAGGATGAAATATGTCATAGAGCTTAAATGTGCCAATACTGAGACTACATCAAAAAGTTTCTCCATCATTTCAAGAAGTTTATTTCTTGAGCATTTTTAACCATTTAAAGAAGTAGAGGGTACAGTTGTCCAGCACATACAGACAAGGGGCCACGTTTATTCCATACTTACGATGGACAGTAAACCTGCTTCCCTTTCTTTTTCCCTTTCTTTGCTCCTTTTTCTTTGGCAGATCCTCCCTCTAGACACAGAGAGAGGATCAGGAGAAAGACAGCGATCTTCTTCATACTCATTCTGATGTGCAGTTTGCCTGTTGAAGAGAAAACAACCTGGTTAAATAAAGAGAAAAGGCAGAATATATAAAGTATTCAGGCCTGAAGACAACTTGCTGCTGGTCTCATCACATTCAACAAATTTCAGCATGTATTTGAACATGTGACAGAAGACGACGGCTACTTAAGCTTTGCCCTTGGTGTGAGTGTAGCCTCAGGTTACTTTATTTCTTGAACACTGTGACGTTGTCCTTTTCCTGACATAATGCATTCCCACTTCAACCCCATGTCATATACTGTAAATGTCTGAAATGTTAAATAATCATTCTGACTAGGTTTAATCAGACCAAGTTCAAGCATAAATCGAATTAGTGGAGTAGTTCCCCGGAAAAACGACGGTTGCATGTGACCTCTAAAAGATGACCGATATAACTATCACCTGATAGAACTCACAGAGGAAAGGTTTTATAAAGCTGTTTTCTGCATTTAGCAGTACATTTTCTTTATGATCTTAATAAATGATATCATTTGGTTTCCTCTGGGTAGGAGATAATGTGCTCCTGTTTATTTACCAATTCTTTGTCAGAAAATCAGGTCTAATAGTTTTACAACTGTACATATACAAATACACACAGGTAGTGCCTTTCTGCTTGTCTTGATAGGTGCCATTAATCAGCTAGCAGCCATGGTACCTGTATGATTCATTCCCCATCTAGGAAAGTGGTGCCCACTCATTGCACAGGGGACACTGAGACCAACAACAAGGCCAGGCCAACATTCTCTAACCCCCCCCCGCCAGACTATATATTAACTGAAGCAGTTTATTGTCTAGACAGTGACATACTCTCTTTCTCTTTCTCAGTCTTGGCTCATAACTCCCTGTCTGCTGCCTGCCTGCACATTGATCATCATGTTCTCCAGCAGATTTCCACTGCTCAGTTCAGCGCCTTTTGTCTCAATGCAAACACCTTGCTGCACTCGAACAAAGCCAACATCTCTTTATCGTTTTGGAAAACTTCCTATAAAATGGAAGGTTGGTTGGTGTTCTCATTCAAGAGTAGAAAATGGCCAACATACATCAGCACTGACCCACACATATCAAGATGGCAACAGCTGGGGTGATTGTGAATCTTTGACTTGACAACCAACCATTTTCTAGAAGTCATTTCTTATGTGACCTACAAATCCTGTCTAATCTTCCCTCTGACAATTCTGTATGTGACAACTTCCATCTCTAACCCTCCTGTCCAGTTTTCCTGACAAATCAGAAGAAGAAGAAACAAAGGAGGCCTCATAATTAGTATACATGCCAGTGTAGTAATACATTTAGTTTTATTACAAAGCACTTTTGAAAATCTTGTTTAGAATATGGCCAAAAACATGAACGTACAGCACATTATGTCACTGGTCCCACACCTTTTTTGATTTGTGACCCTTATTGGCCTGACAACAGGTTAGATGGGTTTATTAAGTGTGAGCAGATTGACCACATGCTTTAACTTTGATAGAACAAAATATTTTAAAGTCTTATTTTATGAATTAGCTCATGACAAATCATTTAATGACCTTTACATTCATCTCAAGATGCAAACCCCTACAGAATGACACTGCAGTCATAGAAATAAATAGCTTCATACAGGGGAAATATTATCCCCCATCCCCCCCCCCAATCATTCTATTTTCGGGAGGAATAAAGTGTGATCTGTTGGAGCAGAATTGTGTGACTTTGATTTTAATTTTACTGATTTCACTCACATCGTCATGTGACTTTTAACCAGAATATCATGCACACCCTTTATTACTGGACAGAGAAATGTGTGTTCAGCTGAAACCAAGTCCACAAATTGACCTTAGTGCTGCCTGAGTCAACTCTGTGCCATCACTGAGGAACATTGCCCTTGACTAACAGCAATGTTAAAATTGCAGAGGCATTTTCACACAGCGTCCGACAGTGACTCAGGCAGCCTTACATGGTCTGTCTTGTGGGTCCAAGGTCAATAAACAAGTCCGCTCTGCTCACGTAGCCTCCTGGAGCATTGCTTTTTTTTAAATTCTGGACCATAAATAAGCCATTGTAAGAAAAATAATTCCTGAAGGAAGGTGAGAACATTTAGGCAAATGAATGACTGTTACTATTAACATGAATGGTTTAAGAATAACACAGTATGTGTGGTGTGTCTGATGCAAATGATATTTGATATTCACTATTTGATTTTAAATGTGATTCAACAAAATGCAATATACAACTTAAACTGACTATATAGTGTCTTTTTGTCTAATTTAAACCACAAGGCCTGTTTTGTGCTCATCTAAATACTGATCTGCAGCCAGTCCAAACAACTAATATACGCAGGGGCATTCGCAACCTGTGGCTGCACGTCGCGTTATCTGATTGTAAAGAAACAAGAAAGAAAAAAGTAAGTAACAGGGGCTGACACGAGCATCAGCCTGAGCATTACGAGAGATGGGGGACTGGAGTGAGAACAGCAAACAGCGACCACCATGAAGGGGGTTGCAGGAAGAAGATTACATGTGAACGCGAGCATGCGATTTCTCTTCACATGGGCGCACGTCATGAACATACACAATAGGATGCATGCCACACAGTCCCACTTACCGTTTGGCTTCGTCACCTGTCAGTTCCTTAGACAACTAGACCCAGTAAAGCTGACAGCAGATAGTGGTTAAAGGAGCCTCCCAGACCAGTGGCTCTCCTTCTTTCCCATTCTGTTCTCCGCTCTCCTCACTGCAGCGATGTATTCATTGGGTTTTAGAAAAAAAAAGTTACATCTCGGCAAATTGCCAATTTTTTTAATAATAATTCCGCGCGCAGTTTGTTGTTATTTTGGAATAAGTGTGTATATGGCTGCTGCCCTTTCGCCTCAGCTCGGGATACCCAAGATGGAGGCTTGCGTGTACCTGTCATGCAACATGCGCAGTAGCGGCTGCACGAGAGCGTCAGTCCTCCCATCAGCACCACGGACAGCCGCTCCCCTCCTCCACAGCCGCTAAACGCTGAAACGTGGCGTGACGCCAGGAAAATGAAACGCTCGTGATGGGCAGTGTCGTGCACAGTGACTGCTGGATAGACATGAAGCAGAGATTTATGCAGCAAATTAGAGATGCAGTTTAAGCTCAGGCGCTACAGGCTTAGGGATTCTAGTCTGTTTACTGTAAGGAATTCTGTGGTGTTCATATGTCAGTCCTGGCTTTATATACAGTGTAAACTATGTGGACATTTTAAATCTGTTAGATTTTATGTCAGAATGTAAAAGTGATCTGCAAATGACATGTTGAGGAAAAATGTTAAAAGAGGAATCAATAAGCTTTTGACCATATATCTAAAGTAGGTGTATTTGCATATATCCACATACTGTGCAAGAGTTTTATACATAGAGAGAATGCTTTCAAAAATAATGTCACAAATAGGATTTGAATATCAGTTCATTCTTACACAAAGTGCAATAAACAGAAAAAAAACCCCAAAACTAAAAATATATACTTATATCCTGTTTTAAAACAGCACCAGTTCTTCAACTTACACACCGATAAGCTGCCAACAATGAGGGGGCCACAGGTCTTTGGATTCAGGCTCTGTTGGTTCAGTTTCTTCATGCAGTCTAGACTGACTCAGTGATGGCTCTGTGGAAACCATAGCATTTGGTGCATCTCTGAACTCTGGTTGTATGTTTGGGGTCACAGTAATTCTGTAAAATGATTTTGGGGCCTATCACACAACTTCCTGATATTATGGTGTAAGAGATAACCTTTTCGCAGTATTTTAACTGAAGTTACAAATATATTTTTCTGATATATTTGCACATTTTACTGATCTAAACTTGTATTGAACAGCATACAAAAACATTAGAGACAACATTCTCAACACAAGGTCTGTTTATTAGCTGTTACATCGTCAGTAGATGGAGACTGAAGTCTCTAAAGTCCTGATAGAAACCTGAACATCTCCAGTTCCATCATAGCTACAAAAAACTCTGCAGCATGTATTACATGTACACTGTGGTGTGATTTATTTGTCTTAGCTGCTGTTCCTTATGCTAATAGCTTAAATTGTAATCAGTTGTCTAGGATTAATTTGCCTATTAGAAACTGATCCAGCTGTTCAGGTTTGGATGGTACAGTACTTCTGAATGAGTAAATTAATTGAAGGAAGATGAATATGATATGATGAGTAAATGCATGAATGAATGATTTATCTTGGAAGATTAAAATAAATGTGTTTTGCAGAGAGCCAAACATTTACAAGTTCATCAGATAGCATTGATTTTTATATGCAGTCTATGAGCCATACTATATAAAGGTATTTCAAACAGCTTGTAGTGGAAGACTTATATGGCACATTATTGTTGTTGAGAGAGTTGGGTTTTCCGCTGGTGTCAAGTAACGTATCAAAATGTTTTTCTAATCTATAAATATTTTTATTTTTAGTTTCCACCAGGTAAAATTGGTGCATTAGCCTTCTAATTTAGCTGTATCAAAATAGAAAGCCCAATATTTGGTTTTGTGGAGGTTTGAACGTATTGTCACTTTTAACTGTGTTCTAAGATCTCAGTTAGCTTCATCCATGATTACTCAACCAGATGCCAGCTAATTAAGTCAAGAGGTTTCAGCTGTGTGTAATGTTTAAAGAAGCAGTTGTACTGTGAGATTGTGACACTAATGAAGAATGAAAACATTGTCTTCTGGCAGAATAAAGTGATTTTTTTTTTTTAAGTGTGATCCTAATTTAGAAATATTGTGTTATACTCTATAAATATTGAAAGCTGAGAAACTCAACTACCAAAGATGGTAAAATAATGGTTGTCCTTGTCTGTGTGTGTACAATACTGATATGTATGTATTTCACTCCTATATAAAGATTTTTAAGTGGACTAATCTGCCTGTTATCTCACTTAAAGAAAACAGAATCTTAGTCGGTCTTTAAAGATAGATTCCTAATAGATTTGATTACTTTTAGTGTAACAGAATTCCCTCAGCAGCTTTGGCATTCATTTCTAAAACCCACATCTTGAGCCTGGTGGTGGTTGTAGCCGCACGTTTTCTACAAAAAGAACATTTTACAAATGTCAAAGTGTCTTATGTCATTTTTCATCAAGTTTGGCTGAAACACATTCAAAGAACGGAACAGAAAACCTGATCTTTTGTTCTCTCAATGAAAATAAAATCCATCACAGAACATAAGTGAGCACAATTTTGATCCATATCTCGTTCATCATTTTATGTCAAACAACTTGGGTGACCTTTACTTAATGATCCCTGTTGTATAATTCCTACTGACAAGGCATTCCATTTGCATACACAAATTAATCAACGCCATATGCATAGAGATTAATGATTTATGTCACAGGGCATGGTTCAGGGGTTACAGTTGAGAAGCAAGTGTTTGAACACAAGGATCCTTTTGTGTTGTCTGGGGAAATGTTCATGGGCTTTTTGGGACTGAGCCAATCTTTTGTGGTATTAGACCTGGAATGCAAACCACATTCATGTTTCTCCTGTAGCTGAGAAAAGTTATAGTATTAGACCTGGAATGCAAACCACATTAATGTTTCTGCTGTAGCTGAGAAGAGTTATTCATGTCACATCCTTACTCTAATAACAATAAAGGTTTGGGTTGATTAATAAGGTAGAGAGTGTTGGTACTAAACATCTTGCTGCTACATTACATTTGTTTTCAGCTTTGATGGGTTGGTCTTTAACTAAACCTGGAGAAGCTTCACTGACTTAATAACTTTAGGCCAGAAACAACATAAAATGCTTGGAAGAGGAAGAAGCACATGTCACTGTAGCTGCCAGAGTGAATGGCACTTTAATGTAAATCATAAAGGATGGTAATAAAACAAAGGGCGGCCAGACTGGTGGAATCTGTAAAATGTATGGTTCAATGTTACATGTGCAAAGTGAATTTTAAAGACACCACCAACAACAAAACAAAAAACTTTTACCAGCCTGTAAGTGACTGTTTCTTAAGTTTCTTGATATTTTTCTATGAGCAAATAAATACATTTAAAAGTAAATCAAGCTAATTTTTACAACTTCAGTAAAAAGGTCTGTTATTTTTAGCATCAACATATTTGTTACAGCAGCACAAACCAGTGCACAATAGCAAAACTGTCATATAATCCACAGTATGCATATTTTGTAAATGTAATAATCAGCACAAAGCTTCAAGCTTCCTGTTGTTTGCTCTCATACAGTCCATCACAGCACAATGTTGGACTCCAGTGCAATACTGTGTCTATGTTTATCTATGTTTATATACTGTATCTATTAAATCTAGCAGCATAGAAGTTTGACCCCTAGATTATTGAATAAGCAGATTGTCATAATGGAAAATGAGTCCTCCCTGTCAGCAGATGTTTAGTAAGTGCTACTCTAACCAAGATTATGATGAGTCAGAATGCTGCTCAGCAACAGCGCACCATCCCGGTATCTTTGGTCTTTACTCTGGCATAAGGAGGGAACTCCTAAGGGAGTAAATAGGTATAATGTGGTTTTCAAAGTTTACACTGAAGAAGAGTATGACAAACTTCAGGTGAAACTCATAGTAACCAGGTAGTTTTGCTTTGCACTATAATACTGTAGCTCCTCTGTTCAGTGATCAGAAGAATCTTAATTACCGTCATGCCACAGACCCATCTCATTTTCAAAGCACAAATAAAGTCAGCATTACAAAACTAACAAGTTAATTTAAATGGACTCCAGTGTGTGTTTTGCTGTATAACACTGGCTGCATTCAATGTGCTGAATAACTGGTAAAGCTGGTGACTGGTGAAGCGCTACACAAACCTGCAGAATACATTGTTTGCTGCTCCATTTAATTTACAAGTACAAAGACTATATATCTGTATAAAGTAACTAGCTGTACCTATACACAATGGTTCCACAGAGCCTCAATGACAGACTCTGCCAAAGGAAAGGTATGATATCATTCTTGTGAAGGACCTAATTTGTGACATTATCTTTGGAATTAAACATCAAGAGGTAACATCTGTACTTGAATTTGAAGTAAAAGTAAAGGATCTTAAGACTTCTCCCACCATTGTAGACATGAGATGACTCAGCAAGCTCTTTGAAGCTGTTGTAAATTGTGTTTATATATTTGTTGTGGATTTAGTACTTACAGTACTTAAATACTAAATTATATTTGAGTTGAAAAATGTTCACAGCAAAATAAAACTACAATAAATACACATTACCTACAACAAATACAGATGCTGGGAGCTCTGACTATGTACTCTGTGAATGTAAGGCCATTCAATCTCAGAAGCAGCAGGCTATCATCATGAAAACTGACTGGGCTAGTTATTCTATGAGTCATACAGTATGAATGGTAACAGGCCAGGCAATGAAACACAATGGTATGCTTTTATATATAGCAGTAATGATGATGTTTTGAGAGGTGGAAATCAAATATGTGTGCCCTGTACACGAGGGACCCAACCCCACTGCCAGTTTTGTTTTGCACACTTGCAGTGACATCAACAAGAGTTCAGAGGTCACAGCCCAGGCTGTAGCCCAAAGGGGCACCACCAGGTGGCTCTGGTTTCAAAGCCAAATGTAGCCAGGGGCAATTAATCACCGTGATGCAACACTCTCCACCTCTCAAACTTAAGACTATCCATGTAACTTAAGTGTCTCACTGTTATATTATTGAAGGACACTTTACCCCTACAGCAGGCATTAACACAACCTCATACTGTTGTTTCAATGATAATAAATCATCAGGCATAAGTGAAAGTAAGACTGCAATTTGCCATATATTCAGAGAAAATGTGAGTCATTTCATTTTGAATTCCTCTACCAGCACATTTCCCACCTACAGTGAAAAGCACAGACAGCTCCTCACAGGGCCACACATCTGCTGCTGCTGCTGCTGTGGAGGTTTTATCATATAAATGAAGTCATCTCAAAAGCCGTTTTGTTCTAGGTACAATAATGAGCTGCAATCTGGTTTTAGCAAATATGTCTGTTCCCTTGTGTTTCACTTCATTTCTCCTGATACCAAACAGACACTTCACAGACACTGTGACAGATATGCTGTGTAATAAAGACTGACCGGGAGAGGGCATTTGTTTTCCTGACAGCATGTGTCCCACAAAGGCAGACAAGTCTTATGGGATTTAGCTGGGAGCCAGTGACTCTGAATTCTCTATTGTATACATTCCCATCTTCAGTCTGTTCAGTGGACATGGAGCCTCCTGGCTGCTATGTCTCGTGTATGTTAGCTGTGACCTAAAAGGTCTGCCTTGTTTCTAATTTCCTATGTTTATTATATTTCTCTGTATCAAAGACTTCACATTTCACAAGACCACCATGGAAGCAGCAATCAAATGTGGACAACAAGACGAAATACCCAGCTTTTACATACAAAACCTCAAGCAGTGAGTGTGTCTGTATGTGTGTGTGTGTGTGTGTGTGTGTGTGTGTGAAAGAAAGAGGGATTCCGCAATGTGAGGTGCTGACATCTGCTGCAGGCCCTTGCAGGGCTGGAATGTGATACTCTCCTTTACACAAAGGGCCTTGGCCCTTGCAGCAGGCACAAGAAGACCTCTATATGGCCCACTCCATGGGGGCAACACACGTATGAAATGACTCCATCAATACCCCCTGCCTTCTTTTCCCAGCCATTAACTATGATTAAAACCACAAAACACTTCCTCCGTACCTTGATGCTGGGGAGATGGCTGCTGTGCACTCCCTTTGAGGTGGTGGTTTCTGAGCTATGTGAGACTGGGGTAAATTGCTGCAGCATTGCATCATGTGTCTGGCTAAATGGGTTCAATATGTCTCCAGTTTTCCTTTGATTGTTGTGTCTGTGCTGCAGCATACTTACCATACACTGAGGGGATACACTGGTGCATTTGCCAACAATAGGATGGGGGGGACCCGGGGACGTCCGGGTGTATGTGGGAAGTGGGGGTGGGGGGGGATTGTTCTGCTCAGTGTCTCTGCTTTGGCATGACACATTGAGAAGACCTAAAACATTTCTTTCCAGAGAAACATTTAGGTAGAGCACACAACATGTAAAAAGTCTTGTGTGCCTACATATTTACTGTATCTTTCATCTCTGTATGAGGAAAATGAATAGAGGCTGTAAGCAAATGCTTCATGGTTAAAACAAACTTCCATAGGCATATTTTTAATGAAAATGTCCTGCTTGAACCTTAAGTCATCTCATGTGAACATGCACTGTGGACTTCATTGTTTAACCATATGTTATGTTATATTTGATGGACCATGATGCAAAAATGTATGTGAGCTCAACAGGATAAGTAGAGAAAAACTAATAATATTTATGAAAACCAACACAGGAGAACAACTGTGATAAGTACTGTAGCAAGTGTCTCTGACATTAGCCAAAACTAAGAGCTTGTGTAAAGTTGACAGTGACAAAAAAATGATATACAGTGATTTCAGTTATATAAAAATCATGTAAATTCAAATGGCCTTGAAGGTTTTTTTTGTGTGAGTCTTATGTAGCTGCGTCACTTCTTTTTTGAAACAAATGACAAATTCAGCTATTAGAATGAGATACAATTGTTTTCTCGTGTTACTGGTTTCAGCAGCTGTACTGTAGAGTTCCGCGTTTAAAAAGGCAGAATGAGTCTGTGTTGAGCTGCTTTACTCGGTGTTATCATCAGGCACTGAAACTTTTTGCAACAAGTGGGACTCTATTTGTCAATCTGTAGAAGGCGTTTGAAACACCAGTGGGGCAGGCAGCAACGGAACAGTTAACAAGCCGGGGAGTTTCCTGGGCTGGGAAGTACTACTTTATGTATAGCACCTGTTGTGCCGTCAGTTGGCAGTCTCCAAAAACCGAGCCCCGGCCGACCAGCAATAATTTATCCCAGTCTCCACCAAGTTATGACTCAAGACCTCCCCAGACAACAGAACTCGTCTCGGTGTCGCAAATGTTTCTGGGCACAGACTATCAGATTGCTCGCCTCTTTCGTTGTCTCTCTGCGTGTGAGCCTTTGCTATAATGCGTAAAGATCTGTGAGGATTTATTCAGACGGAGTCGAGAACGCACCGTGGACGCGCGCTTTAGTCAAAATGCATCTGTGCGTTTCTAATGATCTTGCATCATAGATTATATGCATGTATAAGGACGTTTTTACTACCAGTTCTAGGAATATAAGTACTTAAACCCAAACTTTGTCCAACAGAGTATCCATCCAACAGGTGCGCACTTGCACTGCGCAGCAGCGGCACAGTGAGAGCTCTGGATTTGTGCAGAGTTAAAAATTCACTTTCTCCAGAAGGACTGATGATTAAGAGTATGTGGATTCTACTCTGCGTTTACCCTCTCCAAATGTGTCCAAAACAACACTTGTCTCCTGTAAACGACGCGCGTGTGTGGTGATACAAACGACCCCGTCTACAGCGCTTTGTGATCGCCCACCACTACTCATCCAAATGATCCTTCCATTAATATTCCTTCTTGCATCGCTTCTCCAACAATATGGCTCGGAAGCTGAATCAACTCTCGCCAGCAAAGTTCAACTTCCAGTTGTGAAGGAGCAAAACGGTGAGTTTTCAGTGCGTTTCATTCAGCTATATGCTTATTCTTACTTGGTTTGAAGCAGTTCTTTAAAATGCACATCTTGCTTGAGTTTATACTAGAATGAATGGAAGCGTTTCATTCACTTCAACCATCATAATCCAGGATAGGAAGTGGAAAATTAACTTTTACTTTTAAAGTGTACCCATGTATGTTAAAGAGGGGAACCCTGTGAAATTCCAGGTCCCCCAGGGAGACGTTTTCCCTGTGATCATAAAAAGGCTCCATTCATGCAGCAGTAGGGCTCCAGGCAATGTAATTTACCTACCCTCTGAACTGCACTGATATGCACTATCCAATTCAGAAATTCAGTTCTGTCCCTTTTGTTTTATGTTATGTTTGTGTTGGGCTGAAATTTATTGTGTTGGATAAGTAAATAATTATCCTCCAATGATTTCTTACCATCATGGGCAATTTGGCAAATTAGGTTCTTTGTTGTTGTATGGACTCTGTGGGTGCATGTAATGGGAAGCATATAGGCCATCTTTCAAACATTTTTTTTAGAAAGCACTTCAGAACAACACTACCAAGTCAGAACATTTTGATACTAGGAATGTAGGTCACAAAAAAGATTTAACCAAACATAGTTCATCCTTAATTGGCATTTGTTCAGTCCTGTGCATATGGGCCTCAGTGGTAAAAGCAGTAAAGTTCATAGGCCTAATTCTATAGTAAAAACTAACCAAATAATTTTTACAGGCAGAATTAGTTACAGCTAGTGCAAAACAAGTTAAAAAATTAGTAGGTCTGAACCTACATGTTGACATACAACAACATAAATAGACAGCAGCATCTCACAGGGAACAGTTCAAAGTTTCAGCATGCCTGTGTCCTGCTGATGTTGTACTGGTCAAACTTCATTCAGTATTCAGTCTTCCACTGGGCTTGGCTGGCCCTGTATGAGGACATGCAGTGCTGAGTTCACTACAGTAACAGTCAGGGCTGGGAAATCAGAGCCTCCCACTGTGCTCTCCAGGTTTAATCAGGATGGCTGAGAAAGGAAAACAACAGGGACGAGAGAGGGGAGGGAGAGGGATGACTGAGGTGGAGAATGGGGAAAAGTGGGGGAGAGATGTTAAGCTGTCAAAGAACTCCTTAAACCAGCAGTCACATGTTGGCTGAGGGGAAAGCAGGCCAAGTTGTCTGTAACCTTTGACTGTGATGTCTGAGTGCTCACTGTTCTGGCGTGTTTGATTGCTGGTGTTCTGTGAGACAATTTGATATTGATCTGAGGGAGGGTAGAGAGCCAGACCTGTCTGGCATGTTCAGCAGTGGTTGCTTGGAGAATTATGGCTCCCAGTAGTATCAAACTTGGCAAGTGGCAGCTGATGACTCCAAAAGATATCAGAGGGGGCTGTTTCCTATTGAGGGTCAGTGCTGTGCAGAATCCATCACAATAAATGATGTGTACAAAAGTTTCAAAAAGGCCAACAGAGTGGGCATGAACTCTGAAATGTACATTATGTGTGTTGGGGTCATAAATAATGTGAACATTTTATTCTTCCACCACTGAGGATTTTGTTACAATAACATGTATTGCACATGTAATTTTCATGTGTTCTCTGCATGGCTATAAGTTTTTATGGTTATTAAGAATAACATTGCTAAAAATGACGTCTGCAGTTGCGCTACATTAATGCATTGTATGGTTTCTGAACTGAAACTGGGTTGAAATAAAATGCATGTACCCATCCACCCCGACCGCTACCACCTTCTTTGGCTTTTTCTACAAGTTGTTCTTCTGTTCTGTGGAAAAATCTGCCTCTCACCACTATTTCATAGAGTGTTGTTTGTATTTTAGTATATAATTTTCTTTTAATTATTGGTTTTCACTTAGATGACTGGTCCATTAAAACTACAACTAAATTGCATTTGCAATCATGTTTTGCAAGATGTACAGTGATGCCTGCATGATGTTTGTTATGTAGCAGAATACATATTGAATGTTTTGTGTCAACATGTTTTATTTTGTTTTCTCTGCAATATTTGCTTCCAGAAACTGAAGCTGATTAACAATGTTGTGGTTTTGTTTCCAGTGCTCAAAGCACTTGCTTTGGTCTGGGTTAAATATTGAAGCATTTTCAATATTTAACCCAACCGCAACATTTCTCTAACCCCAAGCAAGTGTTTTATTTGCTAATCCAAATAACATGGGTGGTGGAGAACATGGACCACACAGTCAAGTGTTTAAGTCTTGGGCTTGGTAAGCCTAACTCTTTTGGACTGGAACAAATAATGCCAGGAAATCTCATCCACACAGCATTAGATTTCTGTCTCAGACATTTGGAAAAGCAAAATTAGCCATGCATTTATACAAATGGCTCTGTGATTTGTTGCAATAGAACATTTATTGTCTGTGCATTTGATAGTGTAGCATTTTTAGGGGGAAAATCACTCAGTGTTGTTCTCCTGTCTAAGCAAATAGATTCAGGTACATCACCATAAAGCTCCATTGCCTTGTCTCCAGCTTATTAACTAACAGCCCATATAAGCTTGTTTCATTACACTAAGATGGCCTTTGCTTCATGCTGCAGTGTTTACAGGTGCATTTTTCCATTAAGTTGTGATTTGATGGCAGAGATGCCAGTTGCATAACCCTGCATGTCGAGATAAAAATCAATCTTAACTTCCCAATCACAGGTCATCTCAAGGGGCAGTGCTTCATATCACTTCTCTGAATTATGTGATCTGATTTTACTTTCCCATAGAAGGCCATGTTTTCACCCTCAACTAGCCCACCCATAAACACAGACCCAGGTCTTATTAGAAAAATTCAGCTGTACAGAAGATATCTGTGGGAGATCCAAAAAAATCCCACATATCCTCTCTGAACACAACTGGAGGAAGGTATGCAACACTCCAGACCTGCCAATGATCACAGAGGCTGTTGTTCTGCTAAACATTATGAGATTAGGGGGAGGACAGGGTTATAAGGGTGCAAGAGCCATGGGGAATATATGCACGTTTCCATGTATATATTTACTGCACAAGGAGGGTTTAAGCTACAAAGGCGCACTGTGCCTTCATTAGAATGTGATGCAGACAAATAAGCAATTTATAGTAGGGATTAACAAACAGAAAAGAAACTGTAGCTCAAAGAGTGGATCACTCATTTATAGAGTGGTGGAATGGGAGAAATCATTTTATCATTCAGGTCCTATGCTTTTTTGTAACCTACTGTAGATAACAGCATGTGACTGATAGCTGAGGCATTTACAGTACAGGCATACAATTCTCCCATCTGAATGACTGAAGATTAGCCAATTTTCTTTTGATAAAAAGTCAAAAATAAAAGCCTGTTTACATAAACATTTAGTTCCAGAAAGCATTCTGGTGAGAACAACCTTATCACAAAGTTTGAAATTCTGTTATTGGTTTGCCACCAACAGTGAGATAAACCTTAAAGTTGTTACACTTCACAGAAACCTGATAATGCATTTGGCAGTTGACATTTGGGGTCAGTTTTAGTTGCATTCAACAACTATTGTGCAGTATGACAGAGCGTTCTGAATTATTTATTCCCCACCACAAATAACTCCTGAGGTCCATGGGCATTGTAGTAAATGGTGCCATCCATCATATTCACTGATGAAACAAAGTTGAAAGGATTTTAAAAAAAAAAGCTCAGAAGACCAGGAAATAAGCTTATTATTGAATAACTCCGGAAAGTCCCACGTCGTTGTATTGAATAAACTTTAAAATGAGAATTTATTGTAATATGAACTGTGATAGACTGGCAACCTGTCCAGGGTGCACCCTGCTTCTCGCCCAGTGTCAGCAGGGATTGGCTCCAGCCCCCCATGACCCCGTTCAGGAATAAGCAGTATAGATAATAGATGGATGGACTGTAATATGACATATGAAATGCAGGTCCTCTAATGTCACTATTTTGAAAACCTTTGAAGTTGTTTGAAACAAATATTAACTACTGTGTCTACAAGGTTAAGCAACCTTAACTTCAATTCATTTTTCTGTAAAGGTTTTCTTCTTCTCACCCAACTGTTACCAAATCTTTCCAAACTAGACTAAATATTGGGGTTTATATAGATTCAGACCTTTTGTGTCTGAATCTAAAGTGAGGTCAGCTGGCATTCAAGTTTCCACTGTGTTAATTTAAGTGACTCCCATAGTGCTTAACTCTGTTTTGATGTGAAACTATGATACAGCTCTTGGAATCTCCAGTCATTCTTTAATATAGGTCAGATGTTTCTTGAGCCTGCTTCCCTGGGAAACTTGTTTTCACTTAGAAGAAGCTGTACTTTGATGGATATGTTTGAATGAATGAATGCAGTACTGTGCAGTTAATCATTGTAGCAGGCAGTGCAATAGCAGACAGTATGCTTGGCTGAATTAAAAACATTAAAGAAAATGGATGGCTCCAGGGCAGCAATTATAATGAAGATGTACAGTATTGTCATTTGAAAACCACATATATAAAGAGAGTTTTATCAGGATGATTCAAATAATTTCTTATTTTCTGAATGAAGCCAATCAAATTTGTATATGATCAGTGGATTTTTTAAATCTGGCATCAGGTGCCCATCAATTGAGAAAGTCACTAAACACATCGGTTTCCATGTGCACATTTAGTGTAGGTAAGAGAAGGAAAATCCCTCTACTGTATCTGTAGTTAGGTGATCTTTCCACAATAGCAGCAGTAGAAATCCTCAACTACTGCATACAAGCAGGATGGTGTCACCAAACGGGAGGAGTTTTTCCTCTCAACATCTCACTTCAGAGTGGGGAACCCAGGATAACAGTGTCTATGTTTTCTCTGTCAGCACTATTGGAACGTGGAGTGCTGTGTTTGGCAAGCAAAGCATGCCACCCCCTGCCTGCTGTTTGTCATTTTGGGCAGCGAGAGCACCATCTCCCTCCGCCACCTCAGGCAGCCAAGGGAGTTTTCCGGGGATCTGGGTCACAGGTTTAAGTTGTGTTCAAGATAGAATAGTCTCTAGAGACATTCA